AAGCATTTTACTAAAATCTCAGAACTATATAGTAAATAGTTAATTTGCAAAATATCAATCCATCGTTTTAAACTTGACTGTTCCTTTTGTAAATAACAATCCATTGTCTCAGACTTCATTGTTCATGTATTTTCATACCAATTGCATTCCGTTTCCATTCTTTCCTTATCGATCCTCTGCTGAAATACATTCAATGCCTGACCACCGTTATATATTACTTATATGTATACAAGTAACTCACACCACAGTAGTACATACGCACGACGAAACATAATAGGCTGAACTTATGATCTTAGAACTGTTTAGCGAATACAATACTTTTAGTTTATCTAATTTATAATTCAATTTATTAAAGTACAAATTTATATTTATTCAGTCCCAAGTTAGATTGTTTGTTTACAAGAGGTCTAGGTATATTACTATACTGTTTGAACTAAACCATTTGAAGGGTGGGTTTTAATTCTCGACTTATTGGTCAATCATTTAAACCATAAATTATTTGAATTGAAATCCTGTAATCTAAATGCTTAATAATTATAATAATAGTTATACCTTCATTGGCTTCATACTGTGTATATGCAGAGAACATAAACAAATCAGAAACTTGGCATGACTACTCTTCAGATTGAATATTTGAAAAGCATTAAAATTCTTAATGTAATTTCCATCAGATGGTGGTTGGAAGTAGTCAACAGGAAACCCTGAATCTGGGTTTCGTGCTACTTGGCACTCGTCAGCAAGATATACCTGTAATCTTGGGGAACTAGTGCTCCCTGACGGATTCGATTTCATGTCAATAACATTCGATCTGCACTAAAAAGGACTTGACACACATGATATTGATCACCACCCAGTGATCAATCAATTGTGATTACATCTCAGTCCTACAGGAGGTCTGTCGCGGCCCGGATAGCCCAATGGTTATGTCTCTGACTATGAAGCTAGGTGACACGGGGTCGAATCAATCAGGGGGGGGCGTCAGTTCCCTCATGTTTACAGGCACACCTTGGTGACGAGTGCCAAGTAGCACGAAACCCGGGTTAACAGGGTATCCTATTGACTACCTCCAACCACCATGTAGTCTCAACATTGTGAACCCAATGTCGAGTTACTTAGACTAGTGGCCACATTGCAACTTGGTCGATAGAATTCGATCTGCACTAAGAAGGACTTGACACATGACATTGATCACCACTCAGTGATCAATCAGTTGTGGTAATTTCCATTGTAAATTTGCTTTTTGTTTCAGTTGATTGAAATATGTGTTAAGTATCAATTCATCCATGATATGCAATTTTGGCTGGATTAAAAGTAAGTTGCATCAAATCAGGATATAACATGAATTCATGAAGTTATCGACTGTTAGTATAAGTCATCTTGATAGGTCGAATCTATCTTCTTGTAAATATGTACAACTATCATTACCAGTTGTTTAACATATTATATGAAATGGCTTAGAATCAGTTACAATGACACATTATATATTCCACTAGATCTTATCTTTCAGTATTCTTCTATTCACACTTTTCTAATTTCATCGTTTCGAATCATATTCTTAATTCTATCATTCTTACTATAATTATTTCGAATCATCATCTATCATAATAGTCAGTTATTTGTGTTCCTTGGTCTTTTCTTAATAAATCAATACACTATCTTAGTTGTGAAATTATTAAATTTTTTATAAATTTTATGCCCGACCATTGTTGCTACCTTGACGTGGTGATCGGGCTTGACTATCGTGATGAAGCAACCGAGCTATACTGGTTAGAACAACCGTTCCTCAAGGTCCTACCACGTCAGAAAGGTCGGTTGAAGAGCGGTAAGACTAAAAGCAACAAACTCAAGGTCCGAAGGCGAAGTCGGGCTGCTGACTATTCAGAGGTGCGACAGCAGTAAGGTGTTTCCTTCAGAGAACCAGAATGACAGCGATGCTGCCTTCCCACAAAAAGTGGTGAGGTTAGAAAAGGTCGACCCTAGAAATGCACACCTTGCCTTATCCCACGGATATCCATTTCCGGTGGTAAGGTCTCAACAAGTACGGAGCTAACAAAAAAATACTCATCAAAAGGTCGTATATGATCGACCTCAAGCAGTTGTCCCTTGGGCACTGTGGTCACACTTTTTTATTTGAACACATATATATTGGTACAGGAGTGCGCCAAATATATATGCGCCACACAATTTCAGTTCATAAATTGCGTGTGGGCTGCGATACTGCCCGGGTGCCCAGACCGAAGCAGGTGGTTATCTTAGGGGGCCACACCCCGACCCCTTGACCTAAAGGTCTAACCCACAAGGCAGTGAAGCATCGTAAGGAGATGCAGTCCCATGGTAGCCGGTGACCGAAAATTGGTTCATACGCCATTTGTTCCCGCAGGATACTGGTGCCCATGTGCACCATAGATTTGGAATCCGGTTAAAGCGCCGAACATTCGCTTTTCGTCCTCTCATTTTCGTAAACAACACTGTGGCCACGAGAAGGCAGTGAGTAGGACTTCCCTGGTAGAGGCTATATACGCGCGGCCGTGTGAGTATTTCGAGAGGGAGGGCGAACCCACCCCGCTCTCGGCCATACCAGGGCGTTTGGGGGCGGTTACACTCTCAGGTTACTAAGACCACCTCTAATCCAATTTCCTTTTCAGTTGCATCTAGAAGAACCCTCCCATGGTGTGGGCAATAGGGAAGTGATAACCGCCCTCATAGCTCTAACAACAATCAAGACTGACTGAAATTTTATGCGTTATCATCTTTTTATTTTTATTTTTTAATGCTGTTTATATACAACCACCCGGATTATGAATCAAACTCATGTAATTTACTGCATCGTCTATGATTCTAAGGTTTTACAATGAGTGAAAGAATTAGTTCTTATAAGAGTTAAGACATTACCTAATTATTATCATCATTAGTTTTAGAGATAGTTCTTAGAGTACCTTATTTATTGATATTTTTTTCAATAAAACTTATTTAACCTTGGTGATTAGCGAAGGTATCATGCAGTACTCTTGTTATAATGTAACTACCGCTGTGATATTATTGTATTTAGTAAACATGCACTCTCAGATATATATATATTTTTTCATGTTTATTACTGATCTGTCAATATTAATAGTCATAATAATAGAACGTAAACAGCATGATATTGATGAATGTTAAATGAGTATGTCAATATTTCGATTATACCTCTGGAGAGTTTATTTCTAAAGTATCTGTGGTTGTGATACGATGTAACCCTAGTTTTTGAATATAATAAGAAGGGTGCAATAGTTCCTGTTAAGATTATTGATACATTTTCACTTATTGTGTGGGTTATCTAACACGAACCTTGTTCCTAGTCGCTTCTAACCATTTGGTGTCAAACGCTATTCATCCTCCCGTTCGTAATCAATGACGATTTCTGTTTTATTTATTTGAAACGTTTTTCTAGAGAATGACTTGATTTTCAGGTTGTATTCACTACAGATTAATTTCATTTAGGATAATAAGGAACCTGTCTGTTTTGAATTCGACCCCTAATGGTCTTATGGATTCATATTGCTGAAAAATCCTACACTAAAATTAGACAGCTATCAAATGCCCTCCAGTTTTCGGTGGTGCTCCAATTGAAATCAGTATGTGACGAATCGAAACTACAAATTTTATCACATGTCTAACTAGGTAGTTGATTAGGCTCGCATCAACCACCCACTTTTTACAAAGTTTTTCTACCTAGACCTAAACATAATGTTTGTGTCAGCCCCCAAATGCCTTTGTACGGCCGAGAGTGGGGAGAGTCCGCTCTCCCTCTCCACATTCTCTCACATGACCACACGCATATCAAATGAGATTTGTGTGGCGCATATGTATTTGGTGCCTCCTTAGTGTTTGTGTTAAAATTGGTCATATATTAAATGTTTTCTAATAGTTTAAAAAGAATGTAAAGATATTTTTCTTCAATGGAAGAAGTCATCCGACGTTACAATGAGTACAATAATAAAAAGAACTATAATCCATATGAGATAAAGTATGAGTGTAAAATTATGAAACTAAGCATTGTGTTTGTGTATTTGTTTTTGGTATGTCAATTTTATTACGTAATACTGACAATAATGATGTGAATAGCGTTTTTTTAAAGACTGTAGAATTTTCATAGTTTCTAAATCATAAACTGATCTTAACTAGACAACCATTGAAATCTAAGAGGCACTTGACAGTTAGTTGTTTCTACACCTTATGTACTAATAATGATCCTGCAGTCACTACTGAGTAGCTTTACGATGGAACTTTTGGAGTTCTACTGAAAAGCTCTGATCAACGGAGTTCAGCTATGTCGGGTATGAGACAATTATCCACTTCAGGCAATGAAAGATAGTCGTGCAACGTTGGAAATTGATTGAAGTTAAGTATGTACCGCAACAAATGCCAGTTCAATGATCTAGAGGTTAAGTGTTTGCGCGCGAGATCAAATATTGTAGCATCGATCCCCCGTGGTCGTTTCGTGAATGCACATTTCCATACTAAGACGAGACAATAGTCCAGTCCTTGCTAGCTTTTATTGATGGTCTAGGTAATATCAGTTTGTTATTTTAGATATAAATAATAGGCAATTTAATTTTGTTGATAGCAGTTTCGTTACTAATTGTTAAATATATAGTCGTCTTCAATCTCATCATAAACATCATTAAGTTGGCTTACCGTACTTTTTAATGCTTATATTATGGAGTGAGAAAGTCTTTTTTCAGTTCTAATCTCGTTCTGATAATGACAATGATAATAATATTATTGGTAGTCATGCTTATTAAGAGTATCTGACTGACCAAAGAGAGGTTAGTGGACTGGGGCCTAAATATATAACTTACTGGGTGAAAGCCGAGTGATTTAGTCACTCTGACTAACCGCTCCATGATTACTCGATTTAGGAGTCTAATCCTGATATAATAAGTCCTTTTTTTCAACACTTCTCAGTATTTCTAATCTCTATCAATTTTCTTTTTTTTTTGTCTCGTTGATCTCTTTAGATGGACAAGCACCAACATTTGATGAATCGGAAGGACAAGCTGGTTGGATTGAAGGTTTAGCCATTCTAATTGCTGTATTTGTTGTTGTATTTGTTGTGGCATTGAATGATTGGCAAAAAGAACGACAATTTCGTGGTTTACAAAATAAAATTGAATCAGAGCATACATTTTTTGTTATACGTAAAGGTGATACTAAACAAATTCCTGTAAAAGAAATTGTTGTTGGTGATGTATGTCAAGTGAAATATGGTAAGTTGATTGTTTAGCAGATTACGATATTTTTCAGTATGTGGTTGTGGAGATTGTTGAATTTTGTTGAAGTTACGAACTGTTCCAAATTAAAAGACCATCAACTTGGGAGCACAGGACAGCCGTTTCATCCTAGCATAGGTCTTAGCAGTACTGATCCACAGTCCCATAACCGGGAATCGACAATTACTAGCTGGTCACTGGCTACTGAGGAGCTTCGTACTAAGATGAATCGATCGTTAGTGCTCTCAGGTTTTTGATGACTGTCTAATGTAAATCGGCTCTTGATGTCAATATTAAGCTTTTCATGTGCCATTGAATAAAGAACAATATGAATTGGAAATAGAGCAAAGGATATGTTATGTTCAATTTTCTTTTCCATTTACTCAAAATTGTTATCACTAGGAATCTTCATATGCAAGAAGTATAGCTCATAGCTAAATATTTATGTAAAGAGAGAGGCTAATAAGTGACAGACAAATCAGTTTATTTAGTTTCAATGTATCAATTGGAAGATCAAAGAGATTCATTATAAAGTAAATGGTAAATGAATCAGTATTCCTTCCAAATTAATCACATTTGAAGAGAAAAGCTTTTGGTCACAGATTGTTATCAGCTCAATGAGTATTAGTAACCAAGATATATACTAGACATATTTGTTTGGTTGCCTGTGACTCGAAAGTAAACACAGAATAGGATGAGTGCTTAATTAACATGAGTCACAGTTCACTATGCTATTGATTCTTTTAGACTAGTGGTCATTTATTGTAATTCTGTCTATAAAATTCGCCTAGCACTAATAACTAAACATTGTGATATTGGTTAATGCTACTGACTGACATAAGTAGTATATGATGTTAGTCATAAACAGAAGGTCTAGCAACAGAGAAACAAGGGGATCGAACAGTAAAGAATAGAAGCAGAATGTAATTTATATGAAAATGCAAGAACAATGAAGTCTGAGTGATTTTGAGACATTTGATGGACATTTTGCAAATCACGTATTTACTATTTGATTGTTAGATTTTATGAACAAGTCCTGTAATTTTGTGTTAAATACATTCGATTGTCCCCACCCGTGTTGTGTTCACTACACTACTACTACTACTACTGTGGTGTACACTACTTTTGCGGACAGATGTAAGTATTTTGTAGTAGGAATTGGATGTGGAATGCTTACCAGCATAAGATTGAAATAAAGAGAAGAGGAAGGAAAACAAAAAAAGGAGTCGGGATGACAACAGTATTGGAAGAATGATGGAGTATCTAAAGGACAACCGAAGGAAAATGTGCAAATGATGTATTCAAAGTATGATTTACATAATTTGCAAAGGCACTATGTGATTTTGCATTTCTTCATTCACAACACTACTACTACTGCTACTTCTGTTCAGTAGTCGATCAGTGTTGTTATTCAAATGATCTAAGTTGATTTTCGTCAAAGATTATGATAGTACATGTCACGCTGTTTACTGTTATTCATATGTATTTAGTAGTATGTATAACCGTACACTTTAATCATATAATGTAAGAAATTTATGTTTAATAGTTGCTCAATACTTGAAATAATCTAGGGCGGTGCCTTATGTGCACATTGTCTATTCAATCTACATATTTTTGCAATAGCTGCGACTTAACTATTCTTGTTTAATTAAGGTCAAATGTTGAAATTCCCGCTACGACTATTTCGTTGATAGGAAAAACAAACAACTTTACTCATAATAAACTAGCAAACAGCACAATGAGGTGTGGTTTATCATCGATGTCTACTTGTATATATGTATGTGTACATGATTTATGAATTATTCCAGTGAATTAATTGGTTAAGTCAATTTAAATGATCGAAACTAACTGAACATGAGATTTCATAGTTTACCTAATCATAGGTTTATTACCGATAAAGGTAATATTATAATCAAATACAATATTTTCACGCTTTTTTGAATCAGTTTTGCATGACCTGGCATGACCCATATACCCCATTGACCAATCACAAACAGAATTTCAAATAAACCGGTCTACTTCTACATTACGAAGTAAAAGGTTGATGATGTTGTCCAGCAATTAATAATTGAAGTTTACCTAGTTAAACCAATCACTTCAATAAATGTAATACCTTTAAAATGATACCTGGCAAAAACGTTTCTAAAACTAACTATGGTTCAAAACCTCCTTCTACTTTAGTAAATTTGATCAATAGACAACTAATAAATGAGAAAATTGATCGAAATTCGACAAAGAGAATTCGAAGTGACTTATGTTGTTAATTCAACTTCTATATTCCTATATAATGGGATCGCTGAATTATCGAGTCCATTAATGAGGAGTTCTCCATGAACCAATGATGCTAATAACCTTCGCCTAACCTATAAAATCTATGAACACCAATTACTATTGGCTGTCCTGATGAATGAACAATACATACTTAACTTATTAATTGTAATTTCTTAAGAGTAAAATAACGTGAATACAGTTAATGAATTGAATGAAGGTTTACAATTAGAACGGAATATAAAGACACTTTAAAAGTGTAATCTGAACCATAAGAACAAACCAATGGTGAATGATTGAGTCGTTTCAAGGTCACTGTGCACGAATCAAGTGAACATGTCATCTACGGATGATGAAATGTATGAAGTAACGGAGAGACGGTTGGCAGCTGGATTACATTATGAAAAATTATAACGTTTCTAAAAACAAAGCAATTATTATATAGAGTTTCAGTTTAAATTAGGGTTCCAATGTAGCGTTTAGTGTTTAGTTAGAATTAGGATACGGAATTTAGTGGTAGGTTTAGAGTATTAGCTTAGGACTAGAGTCATTGAGAAGAGATCCCTTCTCTGAAATGGGAATTCTATGTCAATTCATTATAATTAACAATAGTGAGATTGAATCTAGATTTCAGATTGTTTTTATCGTTAAAATACTCGATTTACAATCAGTGAATTACAGATTCGAGGAATATTCTTCTTCTTCTTGTTCATTGTTCGATTTAGCTATGGTCTCCTTTTGTCATAAAAAAAAATAATCCCACACATTGTAGCTAAACAGTTTAACTTAGTAACCAAACAATATGTCTCTAATATTATTCATAAATACCTAGTTTACTGATTGCTTGCTTAATCTTGATGTAAAATACATTAATCAATCACTAAATAGTTTGCATAGTTTGAATGGTTTCATATATATGTGCGAGTGAATTTATAGAATTCTCATTTTTTCCCATTTGCCCTACTATATACAAAAAGGATAAGAATGGGTATTTATTATTACTACTATTTTTTAGACCCCATTCCCCACATACTCTCTCTTTCTCTACCTAATGATTATATTCTCGTGCCTATGTGTGTGCAATATACAAAAAGTATACATACATCATTGGCTCTTATGGCGTCTTACATTTCGATATTAAAGAATCATTAATTTTTGGTTTGTATATTAAACTAATGTATAAATATATTCACTGTTGAAATCATGGGTCAAGCTAAGCTAGGTCGCCATTAAAGACGTGGAAGCATTGAACAACCGTTCCATCCTAGAACGGGACTCTTGAACAGTACATATCCACCAACTCGCACGCGGGATTCGAACCCAGGACCTTCCGCCTCGCTCGCAAACGCTTGACCCTATATATATATATATATATATATAAATGTTTGATGAAATAATGCAGAATAAAATTTTCTAGTCTATAGTTATTTCAATCAGTATTCCACTTTGTTAAGAAAGTCTTATTGACCACTTACAGGTTGATAATTGTATTTGTATATTTGCAGAATATGTGTTGTTCTATTCATTGTCTTATTGTGCATAGAATATATATCTACCCCTTTCGTACGTTCTCTGTTTTACCGTACCTGTACGTAAGTGTGAGTCGTAAATATCGTCATATTTACATTTCTGTATCGGTAGTTGTCTTATGGTGATCGAACTGAACTGATTCGTTAATTCAGTTCATCAACTCACCTTGTATATATAGTGAAGTGCACACAACCATAGCTAAAGATCAGTCTACTTTCTATAAGACTATCGAGAGCAATTATATAAACAAACAAGAAAAGCGCTAATTTGGAACCTATAGATATACTCACATATGTAAACTAAGGCACATAAATATACTTGAAACCGATCACACACGACCCTCCTAAAAGAAGTTTTCATTGTGTCAGCATCATACTTTTTAGTCCTTACTTGATGAAGTGTACCTATTCTAGGGTCAACCTTTTCTCACCACCTGCTTTTGTTGTGTAAATACAGTATTGGTGTTTGTAGGAAACATCTTACAGTTCCTACACCTTAATAACATCATCAGTACGTACCATGAGTTTGTTACCTCTAGTTTTACCACGCCAACTCAAATATCTTTTATTGTAGGACCTAAATAAAGCAAATATTTTAACCAATCCATTTCGATCGGTATCTTTGCTTGATCATTACATATCAAGGTATGAGTTACCGCAGAGAAGCGGTTACACTTTTATCTATCTTATTCAATGAAATACCATTATTTATTATTACGAATAGTTACGTGATATTATTTTTCTAATTTTCTTTTTCAATACCCCCCCCCCCAAAAAAAATTTCTTACTAGGTGATCTCCTACCAGCTGATGGTATAGTGATACAATGTAATGATTTAAAAATTGATGAAAGCTCTTTAACTGGTGAATCGGATCAAGTAAGAAAAAGTGAAACAAAAGATCCTGTCCTCCTTTCAGGTAATTTCTTTAATTGGTTTTTCTTTTTTTTTCTCGCTTTAAGTCCATTTTGAAAATTCTATTATTCCCCCGCTTCACATTCACACACACATCATACTTATGTCTTTCAAATTTGAACAAAAATAAGTAGAGACTAGTGAATGAAAATAATTTGTTGAATAAAATCAAGTTATCAGTGTATACTGTTCATGGCTTCCCATCATATATTGTTTACAAAACTTGTCTAATTTTGTGAATGGTTATAGTGATTAGAAGTAATGATTTGACAAATACATTATGTTTTTGATTGAGATCATGAACCGATTGATGTTAGATCACCTTTTGGAAACCTAGAAGCAGTGGACGGCCGTTTCGTCCTATTGTGGGACTTCTCAGCAGTGGAGCTAATCCATGTCGGGTAGAGACAGATATCTACCTCAGTACAATGAAAGTTGGTCACGCAACTTCGTGGATTGGTTGAAGTTAGACACTATCACCATTGGATGCCGGCTCAATGGTCCAGTAGGTTAAGCGTTCGTGCGCGAGACTGAAGGCCCTGAGTTCGGATCTCGCGAGCGGGATCGCGGATGTGCACTGCTGAGGAGTCCCACAATAGGACGAAACGGCAGTCCAGTGCTTCCAGGTTTCCAAAAGGTGGTCTAACATCAATCGGTTCATGATCTCAATCAAAAACTTAATAATCACCACAACCCCTATACTAGATACATTATGTAATCAAGTTAAGATAAACATTCAAAATAGAATGAAGAGTTAGTCAAGCCAGAAAATACAAATTACAACAGTATTTATTTATTTGTTTTAGATTTGTGTGAGGGCTTTGATATTGCTCAGGTACCCCATATCGAAGCAAGTGGTCTACTTAGGGGATCAACACCCTGAGACTTTGACTTAGAGGTCTACTCCATAAGTCAGTGAAGAAACGTTAGGAAATGCAGTCCCATGGTAGTCAGTAACCAACAACAGGTTCATACTTCATTTGTTCCCTTAGGATCCTATAGCCCATGTAAACCACTGGTTTAAAATCAGGGTTTTATAACTCCTCCAGATGGATCCACCGTATCCACCAACCTGGTTAAAGCGCCGGACATTTGCTTTTTGTCCTCTCAATTTCGTAAAAAGCACTCGTGATGCGAGCAAGCACTGAGTAGGATTTCCCTGTCGGTCGTTGTATGCACGTGGTCATGTGAGAGCATTTTTCTGGGGAGAGCAGACTCTCTCCACTCTTGGTCGTACCAGGACATTTACGGGTGTGTTGTTCGTACTCTTAAATTCGTTACTCACTTATTAAATAAACAAAGAATTGCTTGAAAATGCCAGATATGACATTTTTGTTGTACTTCTCACACATCTTTGTGTTATATCTTTGATTCATCTACACAATAATATATAGGTGAAAACTTGTCTCGATCTAGGTTTAGGCCTTGACACGATAGGTCAACTGATGTCAACCTTAAGGTTAGAAATGTGTGAGTCTGAATTGTGACGACTTTGGTCGGAGAGACGAAGCTATTCTATCAGCTGATTGGTTGACAGGCGAGAGAACGAGAAAGAAAATGAGCTAACTGAAATACTACTTGATTTATTCCCTATTCCCAATTCAGATTAATGTAAGAAGATATATGAATTAATAGATGAATAAGACGACCACCTAGTACAAACAGTTAGACAAACACAATGATGTGTAAAGTAAGCATTAGGCTAGGAAAATAATGTATCAAAGGTTATGTTTAAATTACAATAGCTTTGGAATAGAAACTGATACGGTAATGAATCGCACATCAAATGAAAGCTTATAATTCACGGAATAAACTAGGGACAAAACTAAATATAAGTACTTGACAAACTTTGAATAAATGGAAACGCCATCTTCAAAAAAATAGCTTCCGTTCATTGTTATGACTTCTTGATTTATCTATTCATATCATTTTGTTATACAAAATAGTTGGTTGAAGTTAAACATTAACACCGTTGCATGCCGGCTCAATGGTCTAGTTGGTTAAGTGCCTGGCGCGAGACTGATAGGTCCTGGGTTCGAATCTCACGGGGTGCGGGGTCGTGGATGCCCGCTGCTGAGTCCCGTACTAGGACGAAACTGCTGTCCAGTGCTACCAGGTTTTCCATGGTGGTCTAGCTTCAATCGACTCATAATTTCAACCAGTGGAACAAAATAATTTGTTAAATAAACACTGTTTTCTTTCTCCCTTCAATTCAATCAACTTGAATTAGTCCTTTTGTGTTGATGACCTGTTTTACAAATAAAATTAATAACTATAATTGATAAGAGGTTAAAGTTATTGATAAAGCGATGTGAATTTAGTTATTTGGTTATGTGAAATGAATTTTTTGTAATAGAAACTTTTTAATTCCATCATGATTATTTCACAGTTGAGCTCATTTGTCTTTCTCACTCACTCACTCACTCACTCACTCACTCACTCACTCACTCACTCACTCACTCACTCACTCACTCACTCACTCACTCACTCACTCACTCACTCACTCACTCACTCACTCACTCACTCACTCACTCACTTAATTTCTACCATGATTTGCGTGTTTTTTCACAGGTTTCTTTTCTATTTAATGTGTGCGTACGTGTATGTTTGTAATAAGGATTAAGAAAATAATAAAACCGATTGACCGACTACTTGACATTATTACAGTTCGTAGTAGTCGTATTCGTGGTAGCAGTGATGTATTCGTCACGTATTAAATATTCACTTATTTTTCATTAAAAAAAAAACAACTATAGTTTAAGTTATAAATGGTTAAATGATGTATGATGTTGCTTTTGTGTATTCTTAGTGTTTAGCTGTGGTAGTGTGTGCATTCATAACCTCACTGGAGATCGAATTCAAGATGTTCAAGATATATGGAGGAGTTTGTATCCAGTAGTTAACATGGTTTTCGATGGTTGTCAAATTAAAGTCAATTAGTCAATTATTGATGTCTAGAGAAAATCCTGTTATGTTTTTCTGTTCATGTGTTTTATTTCGTCTATAGTTTAAAACCTTCAACTGTAACCAATAAAACATTTTGACTGGTAAGATTAATCTTGAGTTGAGACTGAGATCATTTTGACTCCTATTGGTTTCCCAAATGATAACTCTGTATAAGAGGATATAACAGACAAACTTCTATTATGTATATTTTAAGTACACATTGTAATTATCTCAAGTACTCATTTATTTGTATGCCATTCTTTACACACAATCATGTCATAAGTGTGGCAACTCGAACTGATGTACGTACGTATGAAGTTCTACGTTGTTACTGACTGACTGACTGACTGACTGCTTATCAAACGATCAAACAAAAATGAACATTACACAATTTGAGTTTCATTTAAATTGATAGACTTCGATCCTTTTTTCTTTTTTCTTTATTTTTTAATCATAAATAAACATATTTATTTTTCTTCCCTATAGGCACTCATGTTATGGAAGGTTCCGGTAAAATGGTTGTTACTGCCGTTGGACCGAATTCACAAGCTGGTATAATATTTGCTTTGCTATCTTCTGGTTCTCATGATGAACATGGTGGCGGTGGTCAAGAGAACAAAAAAGAGAAAAGTGAGTCATTTGTTCTTTTTTTTAACCATTAACATAGTACCTTGTCTGAGTATTTGTTATTGTTGTTATTCTTATTTGCTTACACCTGTTACTCCTCATGGAGAAGCATAGGCCGCCCGCCAACATTCTCCATCCAACTCTGTCTTGGGCAATCATTTCCTGTCGCTATTCATCCTTTGGATGTTTGGTTCCAATTCCCGAGATAGTGTATTATTTGTATTTCCTCTTTTCCGTTTACCTCCAGGATTCCAAGTTTAAGACCTTTTATCAGTATTTAATCAATTATTCCAGTAGAGAATGAGATCGAACACAAGATTTTGAAATTTCATTGCAAGTTCCGATTATCATCCGGTTGAAATCCAATCGTTCAATTTACAAAGGATTACTTCAGTTATTATTGTTTGTCTCATGTATTACCATATTTGTGAAAGCAAAGTTGTTTATTAGTACGTTACCTTGAATATAACCTCTTTTTTTTCAAGTCATAGTAAAGAACAGTCACTAGTGTAAAATTAAATGATCATTTGTCTTTCTTTTTTATTTAGGCAAAACTAAAAAGAATGGTAAAAAAGGGAAAAAGAACACTAACAAAGTACCATCTGCTAATTCCGATGCTTATCAAATGAAATCAAAGGAGAATAAAACAAAAACTGAATCTGATACAGAACAGACTTCGAAACCGAAGAAAAAACCACGTCGTAAAGAACAATCTGTGTTACAAGCAAAATTAACTAAATTAGCCATACAAATTGGTTATGTTGGTTAGTCACTATTTATTTATTTTATTATTACTTAATTTATATAAACACACAAAGATTGATACAAATAACTGGAGTTGTGTGTAGACTGTGATACTGTTTGGGTTCTCAAATCGGAGCAGATAGTTTTGTTAGGGGACCGCTTTCCGAACTTTTGACGCAGGTCAAATCCACAAGGTAGTGGAACAACATTAGGAGATGAGGTTCCATGCTATCCAGTGACCGAAAATAGATTCATACACCATTTTTTCTAACTCAGGATTCTAGAGCATATGTTCACCGTTGATTTGAAATTAGGGTTTTCTAACTCACCTAAATGGATTCTCCGTACCTATCTACCCGGTTTAAACGCCGGACACTTACTTGTCATCCACAGTTTTATCGTTTACTTTTGCTCTTTCCGCTCACTATCAATGTTATAATAGTAGCAACTATTATCATTCTGAATTAATTTTTAAAGAATTTCAAATGATGAAGTAGATTCAAAACAATTTAGATGAACGCTTTTTCGTGGTTTAGTATTCTTTGGATTAAATGGTTTAATTATAAAGTCTGAATTATCATCCTGGAAAAGATCATCAGCGCCCAATCGGTATGGTGGTATATTTGGGATTCTCTGTCGTAAGCATGAAAATCATGAAATTAACTGCAACTTTATGTAATTGATTTCAAACTTTGCTTTTAGCATGTGTTTGTGTGTATGTGAAATGTTTAGCAATACTTCTTACTTTAGTACAAGTTATATGAAAGAAAAATTCTGTTATGAGTCCATGATTAGTATAATTTATGGGAGACTGTAGCATCCTACGTCCAATTGTGTCAAAACTATTGGCTTCCGTCATACATCGTAGATTGTTCAAACACCGAGAAAGATTGACTGGTTTTGGTTTTGGTCGAGGATATATTGATCATATCATCACCCTCCACCAAATGTTAGAACACCGTCATACTTATCACAGGCCAACAATCGTAATGTTTCCTGACATTAGAGCCACCTGTGATTCGTTGAACACGACTGTTCTCTGAGATTGTCTATTGAAGAAGGATGTGCCTGGGGAGGTTATTAACATCTTGATAGCCCTCTGTACTAACTAACTAACACATGAGGCAGAGTGAGGTCATACAACCACCTGTCTCGTTTGTTCCATTGAAGTAGTGGAGTTAGACAGGGTTGCGTAATCTCACCATTCCTCTTCAACTTTGCTATGAATGACGTTTTTGAAACAGCTGTGATGGATGTATGTGGTGTTGTTGTGGATCTGTTGTCTGGAGAAAGACTTTTCGAGCGTGAGTATGTGGATGACATTGTCTTAGTGTGGGACGATACGTAAGCCATGCAATCCTGACTTAATTAGTTGGCAATTAGTGTCTGTAGGTATGATGTGTAATCTGAACTTTCAAAGTGCAAATTACTTTTCCAAGACTGTTAGGACCGTGATTCTGTACTCATTGTGGATAGTGAGGAGATAGAAGCAGTCAAGACTAGTTGGAAAGAAGGGACAGGTGGTCAGTGTATGAGATGGTGTGGTGGTATAAAAGAAAGCTGTACATGACTGGGTTCTATTGGTCCTTCACGACTCCCTGGCTAGAATTCTAGAGGTGGTGCAACACAGTGGCTAGAGACGTTATGAGATATGACTTAGAATAGAAGTCGGTGGCGATCCTGCTCTAACTTCCTCTTACTTTCTTTGTAAAAAGTGAACGTGATTTCTTTAATCGACAGAATTTTTTCTGATTATTTTTTGTTAACTGAACTGTTTCTCCCAGTATTATCATTACTATTATTACTTCACTGTCATACATTGATTTTCGTTCCTTGCTGTTCTCCTTTTTCTTATACACACTTTACATTCTTTATCTCTTCACATTCTTATTGTGATCGTGTAGCGCATCTGATTTCTTCCCCCCATTGAAGCAATGTTTATGTGTTCAAATTTTTGAGAAATGTTGAAGAGTGAAAATGGCACAATATTAGTCATTTGATATTGATCAGGACTAACTACAGCATACTGTACCTTGAAGAAACTATAGCTTCCTACGTTGTTGTTTTACTCGCCTCCCGACTGCTCAAATGGATGTTTCAATTTACAACTTAGTTGTTTAAAGTTAACTGATTTCATAACTCAACCAATGATACAACCGTTTAGCTGACATTTATATTGCGATAATTCTAAGATCATCGAAATGGTAATTTACTCATGGAATTCTTTCAGAAGAAATAACCTCTAATCGATCTGATATTAGAGTGATTATTGACGAATGATTAATTCAATCAAAATCATTTGACTACGATTGAATGATCTGTTAACAAAGGTTTTAATCAAGGTTATGAAACTTTACTTTTCTCCATTGAAGTAACTGCTTCTATGAATTTAGTGTTCATCTTGTTGTACTAATAAGGTATTTCAATTTCGACTGATACATATATGTACCTGGTCCTATATTATAGCTGACTTTCTCTATTTTATCAACTACCTACCAGTTCATATATTACGTAGATTTATTATCTCCAGTTATTCAGTATCATTAAAGATTCAGATACTACAGACAGAGTTTCTTTTTTGTTAATTAGAATAATTTCGCCTAGTGATCATCATCTTCTAAGATAACAGAGACGGTTTATATCACGAGTTGACTTTAGCTAAACAAATTTTAAATCCTAGGAAAGGCACTACATATTACTTTTTAGAAAAACACATCCACAATAGTGATATAAGTCATCCATAATGACATTAAATGACGGTAGATCAGTATTGTAAATTGATAAAAGTAGAAAATTCGAATCATTGGATACCAGCTCACTGATTTCAATGTAATACTGTCACTGTATAAGGTCTGAAAATCCTGGATTTAATTGTTGCAAAAATCCCTACACTAAAACAAAACATCTATCTAGTACTTCTTGGTTTTTGATTGGTACTTTAAATCCTTTCAGTTTGTGATGTAAATGTTATAACTTATGACCTTGTGCCCCTATTAAAATATAACGTCCATATCGGTCCTTCTTCCTGTCTAACCCCTGCCTGTTGAGTCCAGAACACTAATATCAGCCTCTGCGATATGAATCATGTATTTGAAACATATTCGGTGTATATACAAACCAAAGAGACCACATCGTACCATAAAATAGAAAATAACGTATATACAAGATCTAACCAAAAGTGGCTGTAAATGTTGGAGACTCTAATTCATAGAATGGGTATAACTCAAGAACGGTAAATCGTATAATAATCGTCTATAAGTCAGAATAAAGCTTATAATAAGAGGAACATGAATATGCATAGTTTGGTTACTTAACAATTATACAATAAAAATATATCTATAGTATTAGTCCATAAACAGAGCACAATAGTTACCATCCACCATCCATCTTGGAAAACCTGGAAGCAGTGGACTGATGTTTCGTCTTAGTATGAGACTCCTTTAGTAGTGTGTATCCACGATCCTTCATGTAGGACTCGAACCCAAGACCTTCGGTCTCATGTGCGAATACTTAACCTCTAGACCACTGAAACGATATCCAACGGTATTAATGTCTAACTTGTGTTATGATGGATTTTTTTCTCTCCATCGGAATAGTTTAATTCTTAATTTATTCAGTACATTGTATTCTTAGCTTAAAATGGTATTTTTAGTATTCAAGATTTGACTATAAGTATTGTAGTAAACAGAACACCAGTGGGGACAATCGAATGTATTTAACACAAAATTACAGAGCATCTCAATAAAATCTGAGAACCATATAGTAAATGCTCAATTTGGTAAATGACCATCAATTGTCTCAAAATGACTCAGACTTCATTGTTCTTGTATTTTCATTTAAAAATGGCATTCAGTTTCCAATGTTTACTGTTCGATCCTCTTGTCTCTCTGCTGCCAGACATTCTGTTCCTGACTAGCGTCATATACTACTTATGTCAATGTAAGTAGCACATACCACAGTATATCTATCGAATTATTTTAAGTCTACATTTAAAATCAAATCCCTATCAATATCAAAGTAAGGACAACATTTTAAGATCGTCGAATTAAATTCTAGAGATTTACTGCATTTGACATTCATCAAGGATTTATCATTTTCATTCTTGACTTTGGCTAATTGAAGATATACATGTCCAGCTTCATTATGTATAAGAGGTTATCTTCTACTTCAATATTCATTCCATTTTTTGATTTCAGTTACTGACTATTCTTTGTAGTGTGAGTAAACGTTTTTTTCCTCTTCTATATGTGGTTACCCGTTGAACGGTTGGATTATTAAGTATGAGTATAGTATCGGAATCAATTCCTGTTGAGTAATAACAATTTGAATGTAATTTTAATCACGAACTGTATGCTCTGAAAGCAGAATAAAATCGATGCTTATTTTTTTACATTATCTTCATTATTGTTTGACATTAGTTCACAATAATAGAAGGTACTTTTTAGTTGTAAAAAAAATCTTCACGTATAAATCACTGTCAATCATCTGTTTATTAGCGATTAGCTTCAAGATAAAACAACGATGGTTATCAGTGGAATCAAGGACGTGCATTTCGTCCTTTTAGGGATTCGTCAGTTGAATGTACTTGCATCCTCACAGGATGCACATATATCAATAAGAGACTGATCACTTACAGTTCTAAACATCAATAGGAAGATTCAAATAAACAATACAAAACAAACTCTAAACTAACCTAATTATAATTCACTTGGTATTATTTTACTTGGATCTTCCTATTGATGTTTAGGACTACAATTGATCAGTGTGTTATTTGCATATGTGCATACTGTGCACGTCCTGAATTCCACTGCTAGACACTAACCATCTTTGCTTATAGTGCTTGTAAATTAAGGCAATATCGAGTCAATACGCATAGTGAATTAAACTTCACCTCATTTCACAAGCAAGTGGCTATCAGGACTCAGTAGCTAAGTGGATAATGCGAGATGGCGTTTGAAGCGAACGATATTAGGCTCAAGTCTTGGAGTGAGCATCAACTCCGAGATTCAGGTACATCCAGCTGACGAGTCCGAAATAGGACGAAACGCGTATCAAACTGGATTCCACTGCTAACCACTATCCATCTTTGCTTACTACATCCAATGACATAATCATTTGAAAAGAAAGAAAGAAAAAGAAATTCGTTATCAATTTTATATTTCAAAAATGTTACATAATCGTTTGTACAAGAGTAATACATAGGAACTAATAATAATGATATCAGTTAATTGACTGACTATTGGCTATATATATATATATATATATATATATATATATATTGAATATTGAAATAATTGTAGGCGGTTATTTTGTTATGGCGGGTTCATTCATTATTTCTTAATATGTGTACCATCCGATGATAAATAAGAAGATAAAGAGTAGAGAAAGAGAAGGAAACAAAGAGAGAAGATTACACACTAAGGTTTCAATACTTCTATCCATTCTATTTTAATTGTATCAAATAATGACAATAGAAATGAATAAAAAATGTTACAAGTATTCAAATATTTCAAACTATATTACTCTACGATAATGATGATGATTCTATGTCTGGTTAAACGTCTTCAATTCATTGTATTGATAGTTTTGTTGTGTATAAGATGAGTGATAGAAGTGAAAAGTCAAGTAAGAGAAATCGTGAGAATTGTTTTTGAAATAGTAATAATAATAAAAATAACCCTTATGTAATAGTGAATGAAAGTTACTTAGATACATTGTTTAAGCATACGTATGTGAGTGAAAATAAGAGATTTTACATTGTAAAGATGGGCAAGATGTTTGATGTTGTATTTGGTCGTCGCTGATTGCTGTTCTGGAAAAAAAAGCGCTGATCACTTATACTCGGAATGAGAGACCTCGGTAATTCCCACGACGCGAAAGTAAGAACACAAAGACTGGTATAAGTGAGGATTTATTAGCCCCAAAACGCTATGACGACGACGACCCTAGTCTAAAATACACTCATTTATATATTGATTGTACACCCATTTTAATTAATAATTAGGATTAAATCACATACTCAGTTATAACAAATCACTTATTGAGCATAGTTCATATCAATGGAATACAAGAATATCGTATATTATACAGAATAAAATATCATAATGAGGAAACAAATCAATTACTACACTGAATGATCCTCATGTTGAATCAAAACGGATGTTGAATGTTGAACAAAACTTATAATGAGTAAATCAATTGAAAATTGACTTTTCTTTCCATCAAATCAAGCAATAATTAATCTACTGGGTATAACTCGGGTCCTAACATTTATTTTCTAGTGACTAATTCATATGTTCAAATTATTAATTATCAATCAACCAAGAGAGGTACACGAATTTGTACCTGATGAGTGAAATAACAATTTGATACGCATGTGGTTAATAGTTGTTATAGTGTATTTTCATCAGAGATTGACGTACGTGAATGAATACTTGATCAATTAACTCCCCTAACTTCTCCAGCAATTTTAATCGGAAGCGTACATATTACTACCTTTGCCTGTCTGGTTGCCTGAAATCGGACAACTCGTGTCAAAGATAGAGCCTCTTTCTATTTGGGCAAATCAAATATATGTGTTATTTACTTCATATATTGGGAGTCTAAACTCAAAGTTGGTATTAACATTGATTACTGTCAGTTCAAATATTTGAAATGAATCAGAGGGAGCTTTTACAGCACTATAATCAATGTCTGCATCATCATTTGTATTATTTCCTTATGACCTGCTAATTATCACGTGATACGATCACCAATGAAAACATCGATTTGTTGACCAGATCAATTACACATAAACCATTATGAGCAGCCTAGAGTTCAATTCTGAATTCTTATTAGATCTTCAAAATAGTAGCTTCTCGTCTAACTGAGCCAGTTTATTCTCAAAACATCTTCATATATGAATCTTTTCCTATTTTTAAAATGAACATAAACACTGGAATGCAGCTGATCAGTTATAAATGGAGTGTAACTTATATTCTTGATTCTACTGTTAGTTAAAACCCATTTATATAATAATGAATGATCATTTATCAACTAAGATTGACCAGCATTCAATGCTTAATATCAATAATAGATTAATATGTATATATACCTTGAGAAATAATGATGTGTGTCTACCGCTTCACTTATCTTGGAAGTCTCATCAGCCCTTGTGGTCTGGTGTGTGACGAAATCTCAGCACGGATACAGAAGGCTCGACTAGCTTTTGCCAACTTGCATCATTTATGGCGTAGGCGAGATATCCGTCTATCAACCAAAGGACGTGTTTACTGCGCAGCAGTTCGTTCCGTCCTACTTAATGGCAGTGAAACATGGCCGGTAAGAGTAGAGGATATCCGTAGGCTACTAGTATTTGATCATAGGTGTCTTCGAAACATTGCTCGTATATCATGGGACCATCGAGTAAGTAACACAGTTGTTAGGAAACGGGTACTAGGTAGGGATGGCAAATCAATTGATGAAGTAGTGAAACTTCATCAGTTGAGATGGCTGGGACACGTGTTACGTATGCCCAACGACCGAATGCCTCGACGTGCTATGTTCAGTGATATAGGAGTAGGTTGGAAGAAAGCTAGGGGCGGCCAAACCAAAACATGGCAGAAGTCCATGAAGACACTGACAACTGGACTGAGTCATGTTGGTAGGTGTAGACTACCTGGTTGGGGACCGCGAGATGACAGCAACCGATGGTTAGAGACCCTGAATGACATGTCTCAAAATCGTTTGCAATGGCGCAGGTTCATCCACTCTTTGTGTTCTCCTAAATTCTAATCTTCTGAATTCTTTATGTCCCTTTTTTCCTCTTTCCAAATTTATTTCACTAGATTATTCTCTTCAAATAACATCTCCAAACCCTAATCTTCCCGATTACTGCTTATACTCTTGCTACCTCTACGACTACGAGATTTGAATTGACAACTGCATCTCTGTGTTAAGGTGGTGTAGCAACTCGAACTGATGTACGTACGTACGAAGTTCTACGTTGTTACTGACTGACTGAAAATAATGATGTAAGATATTAAACTCATATTATTATGAAGTAGGATTTCGACATCGTTTTCTAATCTCTACTCTGTCAATAATTTAATTTGAAGAAAACAGTATAACACCACATTGAGTAACTTGTTCAATGTATATAAGAATAGTAGTGAAAGGAAAATATAAATCACTTTACATAGAGGAAAAATTGAACAAGACAGATTTTAAAGTAAAGTGGGGAAGAAAAAAAAATAATCCAGTTGTAAAAGCATTATCACACCCTTTTTTTTCCTCTTTCTTTCTCTCTTATTTTCTCTTTCTTTATTGTTTTCTTATGCTTCCATTTAAAATACTAATTAAATCAAATCAGTCATTTGATACTATCAATCATTCTTTGTTAGCTTGTCCTTTAATGAACTCAATCTTTGTACATGTATAAAGAGAAAATTAATAATAATAATAATACTGTTACTACTACTACAAGTAATAATACTTCCTTAAGCCTATTATCCGCGTGACTTTCGTAACCAATGGTTGGAGACTCTTGGTGACATGGCTCAGAATCGATCACAATGGCGTCGGTGTATACACTCTCTGTCTTCCCTTAAACTAAGAGATTAAAATCACTTTATATCTTTCTTTCTACAAACCAATTCTTTCTTTTTGTACTATATCTCTATATGCAATCTTTCTTTTATATATTACCATCTTTGACCTAACCACTGCTATGAATCCGGTGTTCATCTTGTTGTGCTGATGCGGTATGTCAACCTGGACCGATGCATATATGTGCCTGGTCCTACGTTTTAGCTGACTGACTGACTGATTATCCGTCATGTAAGAGTATAGATCGCCCACCAGTATTTTGCATCGAACTCGGTTCTTGGCAATCCTTCTCAGTTGTTATTCATCCTTTTGATGTTTACCTCCGATTCCCGACGTAGTGTGTAATAGAAGTGGTATAATTGTTAAATGTTCTGGATTATATACATGTGTATCATTCGATGTTGTAGACTACCTGGGTGGGGCTAGTGTCATCAATGGTTAGGTACGTTGAAAAACTTGGCTCAAAATCAACTACATTGTCGTATATGCAGTCACTTTTTTTTGTTTTTCGGTAAAAAAAGGTTGTGCCTAAAATTAGCTCATCTCCTCTGTCCTTAAAGATCTTAAAACAACAATTTGGTGCGGGTAACCATTTTATTGTTGACTACAAAATTGCAGAATGTTTTTGTAAATTATGAAAATAAATACTTCATTTGCACATCTTCTATCAGTTGCCCTTTACATCCTTCATGCTTCTGCCGATTGTCGATTCCATTATGTTTCCCTTTCTGTTTTCTTCAGTTCAATCTTCTCAACCTTCTATTGACAGACATTCCACTTCTGACTAGTCTTAAGTACTACTGTAGTGAACAAGAACTCCAATGGAGACAATCGAATGCACTTAACACAAAATTACAGGACTTGTTAATGAAATCTAACAATCATAAAGTAAATGAATAATTTGCAAAATGTCCACCAATTGTCTCAAAATGACTCAGACTTCATTGTTCTTGCATTTTCATACAAATTACATTCTGCTTCCATTCTTTACTGTACGATCCTCTTGTCTCTCTGCTGCCAGACATTCTGTTCCTGACTAACATCATATACTACTTATGTCAATATAATTAGCACACATCACACTACTTATATTTGTCAACATAAGTAGCATACACCACACTTGTCATCCCTCTAATAAGCTGTTCTCGCAGTCATTCCGATCGCTTAAAAAGCGTTTAATACTTGTATTTGACTACTTTTTTCTGTCTTTCTCTTTTCATCCCATTTTTTAGGTACATGTGTTGCAATAGCTACTGTCCTAATATTAATCATAAAATTTTCAGTACATACATTTGCACAAAATAAAGAACCATGGCAAACTGGAAAACATTTGAAACAAATAGTTAATTATATTATTACTGGTGTGACAGTATTAGTTGTTGCTGTTCCCGAAGGTTTACCACTTGCTGTAACTTTATCATTGGCATATTCAGTGAAACGTATGATGAAAGTAAGTCTTTCTATCTTATTCATAATTGATATTGCCACTGTTGTCATTAACTCATTCTTCTTTCCTTTTTCTTTTCAAATGAAGATAACCTTTTATCATGAATTGATTTTGGTCAGACAATCATTTGAAAACAAAAAAAACATAAGTAATTGAATAGCTGTTTCTTTCTGGTATTGAGACATTTCAGTAGTTTGTACACTTTCATGATCGAATATATGATCTTTGAATGTTGCGATGAACATGATATCTGTAGGCTAGTGAAACAGTATTTAATTGTTTATGGATTCAGATTCAATCATTTATTAGTATAGAGCATCTATTATGCAATAGATCTGATATTAACTGTTCCAGTTTCATCATGAATTGTCCAATTACTTAGCTCTAATATATCAATTATTCTAATGCTTCCCTTCTCTGTACTTTATATTTTTCTTATTGTTATAATATAAATTCAACATTATTTTAACTAGCCGTCACTCATATTCGAAAAGGTTCAACTATTTCAATGAATAATTGTTCAGCTGTTTCATGGAACTGCATTTTTACATATTTGCACTGTCCTACGACAACTGTTCTTTGTGTCTATGTGTGCGTCTGTGTGTGTGTGTATACGAGTGTATGTAACTTGTTAAAATTTCAATAATATAATTTTCAAATTACTTAGTTTACTTACTTACTTACGCCTGTTACTCCTAATGGAGCATAGGCCGCCGACCAACATTCTCCAACCTACTCTGTCCTAGGCCTTCTTTTCTAATTCCATCGAATTCTTGTTCATTTTTATCATGTCTATCTCCATTTCCCGGCGTAATGTGTTCCTTGATCTTCCTCTTTTCCTTTGGCCTTGAGGATTCCATGTGAGGGTTTGTCTTGTGATGCAGTTGGGTGCTTTCCTCAATGTGTGTCCTATCCACTTCCAGCGCTTCTTCCTGATTTATTCCTCCACTGGGGTCTGGTTTGTTCTTTCCCACAGTTGGTTGTTGCTGATAGTGTCCGGACAACGGACGCTAACCAGAAACAATTATTCAAAATTGCTTAGTTTAACTATAGTGTTATTAATCTGGATTGTTTTTTTCCTGATTATTCAATCAATTTTGGTCCAAATTGCTTTACAATGTGATAATTCATCGGTGAATATACTATAAAATTATATCAACTGTTTAATTGAATCTTAGAAAAATAGATAATTTCAAGGTTTTATGTATATTTTCTCCTTGAAAAGTGTTTATACTACTAATAAGTAAGTAGATATCTATCTATCTATCCATCTATCTATCTATTATTATTATTATTATTATTATTATTATTATTATTATTATTATTATTAGCTTTATTCAATATTATATTATTGGTACAATATAGAATTCTCAGCACAAAGTATTTCAACAAGTTTCCGTTTCTTTCTTCTTGGTCGGTCCTCGCGAGAAATACTGAGTGGTCGCCAGCTAGATGTTATCAGTCCAGTAAATGAACATGGGAATGATGTACATTCTTTTCGTTGTATATTGCCAGCAACCACATTGTCTCTTATTGAGCTTTTTGTAACTTTGATAACGAAAGGTTGTACATTTTTCAGGAACGCAGCAGAATAGGTTGTGCGATTAACAGACATAATGATATATTAAAACAAACAAAAATAGATAACTTGTTGAAATATCTAGATGGCAGGAACAGGTAGCCCAGATGCTCAAGCAGGTCGCCGAAATATCTATCTGTAACTCTTGTTTACCCGAAATTATGTGATTATGTTTCAGTGCCACTCGATAAACTTTATGTCACACTAGTTAACATAATATGACAAAAATGAATAAAACTGATGAATGGAGACACTAATGATAACTGATATTACTCGGTGTAATAAATACATGAATTGAGCCACCAAGTTTATTAGTTATAAAATACAGTTGCTCTTCTGTATTGATCAAAGCATAGAAGAAAGTATATTTAAATATCTTGCTTTTTATGACTATGGATTCATTGTCTGGATGATATCTGATTTTCAAAAATCTCGACACAGTCGAGGAATATGTTAGCATTAACATCATCGCTTATACTAGTTGGTATGCAGACTTTATGGTGCTGTTATATCGTAGATTAATCGTTCTGAGAACCTATGTCATCGTTAAACACTCCAACAAGTTGCCAATCTAGGAACTCAGTTAACAATATGAGGGAAACTTCATAGAACTTCATTATTGGCGGTATCTCTTTTAAATTCTATACGGATGTTGAAATCTTGAATCAACGGATCTCAAAATCCATGAATACAATGTTCTATTCAGCCAAGCTCCGTATTGTTTTCTCAAGCTGACCTGTCATCCACGGATACGTTAAGGATAAAATTTCGCTTTGGGCCACATCAATATACTTCTATAAATTTACTTGCTCCTGTGGGGCAGGTTACAGTGGCTGCACAAAGCGATCACTTTCTTAAACGCATCTCAGAACACAATCCGACCTGGCTTTTAAAACAATTACCAGTTGAATCTAGGTGCATCCAATCAACTCTGGACACATCGCTCTGAATGAGCCTTCTATCGAAATAATCTACACAATGAAGGAACTGGATCTAAGGGAGGTCGAATCAAAAACTTTTGTACTGTCCAGGCATTGGCGATCTACCAATTCAAGCCGAACTCTGCGTGTATAAACGATACATCCAACCTCTCATCCTTCCTTGACCTTAATTCCCTTCAATAGTATGTTTTGGGCTTGTTTTTTAAATTAAAGTTCTGTAATTTCAAATTGTAATCAGTTATTAATATCCACTTTTTATCATTATGACCTTTGTGTATTTCGTTTTTCTTCATATTTGTCAAGTGGACGATTATCATAATTTTGACCTGTAAATTGTTTTCATCCTTCTATTATTCTCTGACCCTTTGAGCATTACGTTACGTCATTTGATAATAAGAATCTCGGATCCCTTTATGACGCAATCTTCTCTATCATTCTACAGACATATATTTACCATACAACCATAAATACGAATGTACAGCTTAAGTAAATGATTTCAGCGGCACGAGAAAATTTTGTTCGCTGAATTCTCTTTATTTTAATTCAGTGATACAATGGATTATTTTAATTACTACATAATATTAATGATAATAATAACAATGATAAGTTGAGATGATGGTGGCTAGCAGTAGAATTCAAGATGCACGTTTCGTCCTGGCTGGAACTCATCGACTGAATGTACCTGTATCCCAGAGTCCTGGGGTGAACATCGACTCTGCGATGTAGGTGTATCCAGCTAACGAGCCCCAGCTGGGACGAAACGGGCGTCCTGGATTCCACTGCTAATCACCATTCCTCTTTACTTATAATACTAATGATGTAAGGCGATTCGCTCAGGTTTCATATATGCTAATAAGAGACTGATCAATTGCAGTGCTAAACATTAATGCGAAAACTCAAGCAACCAATACAAAAATTAATAATACTGACAGTTTATAGTTTCATTATATTTTATCTCTTGAATCATTCTGGTCCTTATAACGACAATTAAAATTGTTAGTAAATATTAATTTTTGAAATGAACTTCTTTGAAATTGTCTTCATCATAGATTGATGACCTTAAGGTGTTAGATTCAATAATCTTGAAATGAAATAGATGTCTAGTAGCTATTTGGCTTTCAGTTCTCCAGGTGAAATCAACTCATAAAAATAAAAGTAATTAGAGAAGTGAATAACTCTCCCTCTGTGTGTGTGTGTGTCTCCCCACAAACCAACCACTTTGAGCATAAGACAAATATCATCATTAATAAAAGATGATTGCTTCACAATATCCCAAATTGTAACTGAAGTTAGAAATGTAAACTATTAAATACTCAATAGTCTAAAGATTGAACTCTCATCAAGAGATCTATGAGTCCTTGATTCCATTCATAGTTGAGTCACATCTATACAATACTGAAGAGTCTTGCATTCGGATGTAACAAGTCCCTTCTAGTTGTGTTCTTTTTTATATCCAACTGATGTTAATACTACTTACTAGATATACTGTCATTCGAACTTCATGAAGTTAGTTTCTTTTCCCCCTTTTCTAAAAGCCTATTATTTGTCATTAAAATTATAGTGATTTTTTCCCCTCTCTCTCTCTCTCTCTCTCGAAATAAACTCTTGATCAAGATAATCATTTAAGAAGAAAGTTTATACTTTCTATCCTAATTATACAACTATATAAGAAGAATAAGATAATGGTTTCCGTGACCTATACTTCTTTACTTTCATTTACTAATAATGACATTAATGAGATTTTAATGGAATTCATTATTATTATTATTATTATTATTATTATTATTATTATTATTATTATTATTATTATTATTATTATTATAAGCTGTATGGCTATGTAGAGATGAAGGTCTCATATGAAACTGGAGGTTTGCCATTAGTATTGTGGATGGTTCGGCATTAGTTTGACAAGTTTTACTAACTGTTCATGCACAAAATTCGTTTGTTGGTTAACCGATTTCATTCATATTGGTGGTTGCTTTCCAGTATTCTCAAAGGCCATTGACATTAGGATATTGTAAGGCATACTAACAATAATGAGTTCGACTGTCGTGTAAGCGAAATAGGCCAACTTTGGCCTGTTCGTACTGAGCATAATTGATTCACGTGATCATTGATCAGAATAATTATTTATACATGTGACGTGAATGTGTATATGAATGATGCGAATGGTCCATCAGGATGCTTGGTACCTGTGTGGTTGCACCACAGGATTGAGCTGTACTGTTTGGGTTGTCACGTGAAAGTCTGGATGGTGTCTAGTTCTCCTGAAAACCAATGTAAAATGACCCTTACCCACAAGGGTATATTATGTAACTAACTATATTATTATTATTGTTGAATTTTGTTAGTGTGTAATATACTTGTAGTGTACAAAAACTCAAGTATGGTAAATCAACTACACAATGAAAATCATACATTAAATACATCATTTTCATATATTCCTTGAGTTGTTGTTTTACATAGTATATCATTCTTTTAAT